AAAAAAAAAAAAAAAAAAAAAAAAAAAAAAAAAAAAAAAAGAATATGTTCTGAGAAATACATCATTAGGAAATTTTATCATCCTGTGAACATCATAGAGTGTACTTACATAAACCTAGAAGGCATAGCCCACTATACACCAAAGCTATATTGTGTAGCCTATTGCTCCTCGGCCACAAACCTGCACTGCATGCCACTGTATTGAATACTACAGGCACCTGTAACACAGTGGTAAGTACTTGTGTATCTAAACATTATAGGACACAAAAAATCGTGAAAAAGCATAAAGAAAATCCACTCACTTTCACCAAATGGAGATTTACAAGATAACAAATTCAGCGGTACTGTCTTACAGTCTTTTTCTTCTGTAAATGTTACTTTTGCATTTGAAACCAGTCACACACATAGTCAGGCATACCTTGGAGACACTGAGGTTTCAGTTCCAAACCACCACAGTAAAGTAAATATTGCGATAAAGAAATGTCAAGATAAGGGAAGGGAGTGATATTTTGTCATTTAACCTAGGAAGAGTTTATTAATGGATTTTTAGAGAACAAGCTTTCAGTGTTTTGTAACTCAGAGAATAGACCAAGCATGCAGGTGGATCGTTTGAGCCCAGGAGGTCGAGGCTGCATTGAGCCAAGATCACTGTAGTCCAGCCTGGACAACTGAGTGAGACCCTGTCTCAAAAAAAAGAAAATCGTAACGTTTAATACAATTTTCTCTGTTTCTTATATAAGCCATTCTTAGGCAAAAAAAGAAAAAAATGATGTTATAGAGTCATAGACTCATGCTTGAAAGAGGCCTTAAGGTTGACATAGCTTTTTTTACTATTATTATTTTAAAATCTTATAGTTCAGTCTCCATATGGTTTGGTGGATTCACTTAAGGAGAGGTTAAGTTCATGTTTTGTCTTTTGACAGATCTATTAAATTATTAGAATGGTTTCTGTTCTTTGGCAGATCTGTTAGAATAAAATTTCTTTTCCCTACAGCTTTATTCTTTTGTCCTTGCCTTGCTTCCTGAGATCACACCAGTTTGATTCCTCTTCCTTACAATGGTTATGCCCTTCCTGCATTGTTTTTTCTATTTCTTCTACATTTCCACATAAGACATAATTTAAATCTTTACTTAAATTATTAACTTTATTGGTATTCCCTTCTACTTTAACACTTTTTTTGGGGGGGGGCGGGGGACAGGGTCTTGCTTTGTGACCCAGGCTGGGTTGTAGTGGTGTGATCACGGGTCATTACAGCCTGGATCTCCTGGGCTCAAGCGATCCTCTTGTCTCAGGCTCCCGTGTAGGGGGTACTACAAGTGTGTGCCACCACACGTGGCTAATTTTTTCATTTTTTTTCTTTTTTTTTTTTTTTTTTTTATTTTAAGAAAGAGAAGGAAGAAAGAAAAAAAAAAAAGAAAAAATGAAGGAGAGGAAGAATGAGGAAGAGGGAGAGGGAGAGAGAGTTTTTTCATTTTTAGTAGAAATGAGGTCTCTCTCTGTTTCCCAGGCTGGTCTCAAACTTCCAAGCTCAAGTGATTTTCCCACCTCACCCTCCCAAAGTGCTGGGATTAAAGGTGTGAGCCACGGTGCCCCACCACTTTAAGTTTTGTGGGCTTTTTGAGATGGAGTCTCACTCTTGTTGCCCAGGCTGGAGTGCAGTGGCGTGATCTCTGCTCACTACAACCCCCGCTTCCTGGGTTCAAGTGATTCTCCTGCTTCAGCCTCCCGAGTAGCTGGGATTACAGGTGCCCATCTAGGTTTTGTATTTTTAGTAGAGACAGGGTTTCACCATGTTGGCCAGGCTGGTCTCAAACTCCTGACCTCAGGCAATCCACCCGCTTCGGCCTCCCAAACTGCTGGGATTATAGGCGTGAGCCACCATGCCCAGCCAACATTTTTAAAAATGAGATAGCCAACTTGAACCAGAAGCTCATCTGTGAATGAAACAGAATAAACCAATACCTTTCACTTAACCTCATTCTAATTATGTATTCTCATAGTATTATGTGGTAGTTTTTTAGAACACATTTTACAGTATATGATTGATTCATTAATTTTTTTTTTCTAAACCTTTGAAAAGAAAATATATAGCATTGTTAAACCTTTTCTTCGTATTCAGTACTACTGTAATTGTTTTTTGGACCAGGTTTTTTAGTATTTGATTTCATCTTGTTGGGTTCAACCTATCTTTTAGATTGCCAGTTGTGTCCACACATTCCCAGCCCTCAAGTTCATATCTATCAAAGCTCTCAGTATATCATCTGTAGCCTCATTTATGTCATTTATTAAAGTTCTGAATTGGTAATTAGTTTAATTGGTAATTATTTTAATTCTTAAAATCTTAAAAGTTTAAGATTTCATTAGTCCTGGATATTGTAGAAAGGAATGTTTTGAAGTAAACGTCAGAAGAAATTTGGAAAATAATCTTATTGACAACTTTATTTTCAGATTTCTAGTTTGGAATATAAGTCAAGGTTTTTATAGTCTATATTATTTTTTCTTTGTTTTCAGAGATCCATCTGTCTCCAAGTCTGTAGAACGAATCTTTAAAATCTGGGAAGATAGAAATGTATACCCAGAAGAAATGATCGTAGCATTGAGAGAAGCTTTGAGTAAGTGTCTTTTTCTCTTCTAAAAGAAAATTTTGAGTCAGTCTTTTCAATTATATATATTTTATAGATCTAGTCATGTTGTATGATAGTAAAAAATTAAGTTTTGAATCTAGCCCTATTTGTTTAAAATTAAATACTTAAGAAAGATGTAGATCTGTTGGAATTAAAATTTAAGTAGAGTTGGTTTTAGGGATGGGGGTTGGATTTTGTTTTTTAGTGACTGATAGCCATCTGGTTATTTTAGTGGTGATAACCATCTGGTTATTTTCCTGCATTTGCGTTGAGTGTTTCAAATGGTTCATTGTTTGTGTTAATAAATACTGCCCTGTGCCCTTACTGTTGGAGAATTTTTGCACAGGATTTCAGTTCTTACTAAGCTGTTTGGTAGTAAGCATATATCGGCGGTCTTTAGACTGTCTTTTGATTTAGATTTACAGTAAGTTGTGTACTTGTATTGTTAAAAGGAATTTAATTCTTATATATTATATGCATGTAATTAAGTTATCGAATAGAAGTTGATGACAATCTGCTGCCATAACCGTCATTTGACTAGAAATTTGCTTTAAAAATAGCATCTTCTAAGAAGCTGTTAAAATTCTTCATTTTAATTTGTTAATTGGTATTTTTAAGCCTCCTGTCCTTTTCTTTTCGGAATTGGTAATTTCGCTGATAATAAAAATCGTGTTTATTTGGCAGCTTCTTAGATCTGGTAGGAATTTCTATTTTTTTTCATAAAAATGAAAGAAAAGGAAAGAAAGAAACAACACACAGTCTCGGATTGCCTTTTTTCATGCTGCAACTTTGGCTCTGAAGTGGACAGACAAAACAGCTTCCCATAATGCCAGATTGCAAAAACTGAAATGTTTTCCAGGTACCACTTTCAAAACTCAGAAGCAGCTGAAAGAAAATCTGAACAAACAACCGAATAAGCAGTGGAAGAAATCACAAAGTAAGGAACAAAATCTCAACTAATATAAAATTACCTCCTCTTTTTGGAGCAGAAGAAAATGTAGACCATTTGACATCGTACCTGGCATAAACCATGGGCAAGCCTGTGTTTTCCAGGCCTGGGAGGCTCCCAGTGACCTATGCTAAACAAGCCATCAAGGAGCTACTTCTAAAAAAAAGCAAAAACTACACTGTTAACAAAGGAAATGCAGAAAAAGGGTTTAATTCAGTGAAGATTCAAGAGTAGTTGGGGGATTGAAAGAAGAAAAAAATACTTGAGAGTGTCCAGGCTAATTATCAGGTTCAAGGATATATGATGTTAGAGGCAGCTGGCATTAAACAACAGATCTGAAGAGGAGACTAGGCATTCAGAAGCATTTCTGTGGGAACCATGAAATCTCCAGATTTGGGGGATATACTCTACCAAATTAGACATGGGCCTCAGATCCTGGCCAGAAGCTCATTCTCTAATGGGAGCTCCTGTTATATTTATCGTATTTACCCAGCATGAGATCGAGGTAGTGGAATACTGCATGTGATAGGCTGCTGTGGGCAAACTGAGGAATATTGAGAGAGACTTAAAAGTGTGGAGGGAACAAAGTAAAAGACAGTGAGAATTGGGAGGTGAAACAAGACATTTGGGATGGTTTTGCTCCAGCAAGCATATGATATCCATCATGATTATGGGAGTTCTCAGACATCCTTTTGGTCATAAATTGCATGCCTAGGAACAAGAGCCATCATTTCAGCCAAAGTTCAACCACAATGGTAATATACTTAGAAGTTTCCTTGCATATTTTTACTGTGAATTGAGTCAGCAGAAAAAGAAATTCAAAGGATAAATATGTAGGAATAGGGTTGATATTTGTCACTAATTTTCTTCAGTCAGTGCTCAGGATTAATTGGATGTTGCATTCCTGAACGCTGTTAATTTGAGGTATTAAGATCCTCTGACACTCAGACTAGGGGAAAAAAAGTACTTGATGTATCTTGGTGTCTCCAAATCAATAATTCTAGGACTTTATGACTTTGAGGGTCTGTTGGAGGTAAGTAGGTTAGTCTGTCTAAATAGCTTATTTTTACATTGACCACCAAATTTCGTAGTCCATTATGACTTAAATATGCATGTTTGCTGAATGTTCAGAGTATATCCTTAACTATAGAGCTAAAATTTTTCCTGTTAGTCAACTTTTTGTGTCTGTATTCTTAATGCCCTTTTGTTTAATTTCAACAGCATCTACAAATCCAAAAGCTGCTCTCAAGTCTAAGATAGTTGCTGAATTTCGAGTAAGTTACAGAATTTGTTTAATATAGCAAAGTATTATTCACTCCTTTTGTATTATAGTTTCCTACATAGTCCAATAAGATTTATTTTTATTCAGTTTTACTTGTCATGTTTTAAACATGCATGAACTGTTCTAAAGGAACCCAGATTGGAATTAGATTGCTTAGAGTTCTATCTGTTCCCCTAATGATAGAAATAACCTTCTTCTAGTAGATCTATTACCAGCTGAGTTCTGTATTCAATTTATGCTAGCAAGAGAGTTTATTTTCCTGTGAAACTCTTTCTAAATTAGAATTTGCTTAGCATAACAGAAGGCTATGTTTATGTAATTAAAATTTAAAGAGGCTATATATAAGTGGACCTTTGTTTTAGTCCAACTTTGTATCCGTAAATTAGCTTTGTGTAATTAAGGAAAAGGATCTTTTAAAGTCTATAACTAAACATGGTTTTGACATGAAAATTGATCATTAATATCTGTGGCTGTGAGAAAAAGTGAAAAGGTTTTTTTCCTCTCAGGGTTTTGTTAAGCATTAGTTTTTTGTTTTTACAAAATGAGGAGAGACAGAATGAGGATAATTGAATGGTCTTGTAAATGAAATATGACTCTGGTCTGTGTTTAGTCTCAGGCCCTAATTGAAGAGCTGTTGCTATACAAGCGCTCAGAAGATCAGATAGAACTGAAGGAAAAGCAGTTGTCAACTATGAGGGTGGATGTGTGCAGCACGGAAACTCTCAAATGCTTAAAAGGTAATGCTTACATCCTTTTAAATAGAGGAAGTCAGATTTTCTTTCTGTTATCTGTCATTTTTCCAGTAATCATACTGGCTTACCTCATAAGGAGATCCTTGGGTAGAAAGTAGTTGTGGCACCTCTGGTTTCCCAAGTAGTTATTTCATGCATATAAATTTTGTAAGTAAATTCTGTCCTTCTCATTTCTAGTACTTTCTTGATGTATTGGATTATATATATACAGTTGTATTTCATATGTGTGGTTAATTGGTATGGGTATGCTCTTTAATGAAGTCACTCTAATGCCTCATAAAATCTAGTTAAATGATCTCTCTTCCTTGCATTGTAAATTATAAATCATACTAATAATTTATTATAATGTAAGCCTCATGAAGGCAGAAATGATATTGATTTGTTCATCACTACCCCAGCACCTAGTGCAATGCTTGGCATATAATAGATATTTGATGAGGCCGGGTGCGGTGGCTCACGCCTGTAATCCCAGCACTTTGGGAGGCCGAGGCGGGTGGATCACGAGGTCAAGAGATCAAGACCATCCTGGTCAACATGGTGAAACCCCGTCTCTACTAAAAATACAAAAAATTAGCTGGGCATGGTGGTGCGTGCCTGTAATCCCAGCTACTCAGGAGGCTGAGGCAGGAGAATTGCCTGAACCCAGGAGGCGGAGGTTGCGGTGAGCCGAGATCGCGCCATTGCACTCCAGCCTGGGTAACATGAGTGAAACTCCGTCTCAAAAAAAAAAAAAAAAAAAAAAAAAAAAAAAGATTATAATAGATATTTGATGAATATTTTTGAAATAGTAAATAAGTGACTACTAGCTATTAACTTTGGCACCAATTTTGTTCCTATACTTTGCTATAAATTTAACAGACAAGACACAGTGCCTATAATCTCAGCACTTAGGGCAGGAGAATTGCTTGAGACTAGCAATTCTCAAGCAATTCTCCTGCCCTAAGCGCTCCTAGTCTCAAACTAGAAGTTTGAGACTAGCCTGGGCAACACAGTGAGACCCTGGCTCTACAAAAAAATTAAAAAATTAATGAGCTTGGTGGCATACACCTGTAGTCCTAGCTGCTCAGGAGGCTGAGGCAAGCAGATTGTTTCACCCCAGGAGGTCGAGGCTATAGTGAGCTCTGATCATGCCAGTGCACACCGCCCTGGGTGACAGAGGAGACCATCACTAAAGAAAAAGTTTTTTAAAATAAATAATTAATTTAACATATATTATCTAATTCAGTCCTCATAACAGAAAACATAACGAAAAATCTCTATTTTATAATATGAGAAATCTGAGGTCTTGAAGGAGATTAGTAGCTTGCCCAAGTTACACAACTGATAAGAGGCAAAGCCAAAATTTATACTCATGTCCAAAGCCATATTCTGCCAGTCACTGGGAAAGAAGTATATGTATTGAATTATCACAAATCTTTTTCAGATAGGAAAGAAGAATTTTTATTGTGATACATACAGAGGTCATTTTATCTTTACTTTTCTGAAGCTTGCTTTTCTCATTTAAGAGATAACATCTTACTAACTCCTGTAATGCAAAAGTTATTGTAAAAGGGAATAGAATTGAGCTTCATGCTATTATTTCTAAGTAGTAGTGTGGCATCCAGTTTGTGAAGAAAACAAGTAACCCATAAACTCTTTTAGTTGAACTTTCTTTTCTTTACCTTAATTACAAGGGTCTACTCTGGTGGGTTCACATGAATCTATTTTGTGAAGAATTTTAATAATCTGTTTTGGAATGTTTTTATTTGGAGAAGCTTCTTTAAAATAATACTATGAAACTAAGCGTATTACACAGTAATGCAGCAAGAATATGTTCACAAAGAGAGGTTTTCTTCAAAAAACTAAATTTTTTATTTTATCCTGAAATTAATACTTCCTATGTCATTTTAGATAAAACAGGTGGGAAGAAGTTCTCCAAAGAATTTGAAGAGGCAAGCTCCAAGTTGGAAGAATTCGTGAATGGATTAGATAAGCAGGTCAAAAATGGACCCTCATTAACAGAAGCACTGGAAAATGCTGGAATTTTCTATGAAGCACAATACAAAGAAGTAAAAGTGGTGGCCAATGTAAGTAATAATTAAAACTGTCTCATACTGAATGCTTGTTACTGTATTTCAGAGACTATTAACATGAATTTTCTCTAACTCTGTTAGGATAAGCATTTTTATCTCCCTATCATAGATGAACAAATTACTTTTGGGCTAGGTGCTATGGCGCATACCTATAATCCCAGCATTTTGGGAGGCTGAGGCAGGAGAATTGCTTGAGCCCAGGACTTTCAGAACAGCCTGGGCAACATGGTGAACCCTGTCTACAGAAAAAGTGCAAAAATTAGCTGCATGTGGTCTCAGGCTACAGTAAGTTGTGATCACAACACTGCACCTCAACCTGGCCAACAGACTGAGACCCTGTCTCAAAAAAAAAAAAGAAATTACTTTTGAAGAGGGTTAGTAACCTTTTATAAGGTAATATAGCTAGTAGGTGGTGGTGGTAGAATAAGACCTGGGTCTTTTTTTTTTTTTTTTTTTTTTTTTTTGAGACAGTTTCGCTCTTGTTGCCCAGGCTGGAGTGCAATGGCATGATCTTGGCTCACCACAACCTCCGCCCCCCAAGTTCAAGCGATTCTCCTGCCTCAGCCTCCCGAGTAGCAGGGATTACAGGCATGTGCCACCACGCCTGGCTAATTTTGTACTTTTAGTAGAGACGTGGTTACACCATGTTGGTCAGGCTGATCTCGAACTCCTGCTTCGGCCTGCCAAAGTGCTGAGATTCTATGCATGAGCCACTGTGCCCAGGCTTTAAATTAGTTAGTTGGTTAGTTAGTTGAGATGGAGTCTCACTCTGTCAGCCAGGCTGGAGTGCAATGGCGTGATCTTAGGTCACTGAAACTCCACCTCCCAGATTCAAGCAATTTTCCCTCCTCAGCCTCCTGAGTAGTTGGGACTGCAGGTGCATGCCACCATGCCCAGCTAATTTTTGTATTTTTCGTAGAGACAGGGGTTTCACCAGGTTGGCCAGGCTGGTTTCGAATTCCTGACCTCAGGTGATCCACCAGCCTCGGCCTCCCAAAGTGTTGGGATGACAGGCGTGAGCCACCTCACTGGCCTTTTTCTCTTAACCAGAAAACTAGATGGAAACATCCTATCACCAAATTTTATGTAAATTGACTGAATTAAGAAATTTTTTTTTTTTTTTTTTTTTTTTTTT